GGTACTTGAGTTTTCAGGAGAGAAAGGAAGACATGTCATCTAGAAGGAGAGTGGATGAACCAGGGAGAACAGCATGACTGCTGGGCAGCTTTACGGTCCCTATAAGACCACTGGGTGTGCAGGGGCTGGGGCAGAGTAGGGATTAACCAGAGTTGTGATTTTGTCAAGCAAGAGTAAGGAAGCAAGAGGGCAAGGGGTTGTGGGTGTATGAAAAGGAGTGATTACACTGACTGACCACTGAATGTAAGCTAGGTAAGGAGGGGAACAAGGACAAAAGAGAGGCGAAAGACAGTGAAAAGTAGAATATAGGTCTGCTGGGTCAAAAGATTGTTGAAGTCAGGGAACAAGAGGGAGTGAGTTAGAAAGACAGGAGTGATTGAGAAGTGGGATGAACTATAAATGATACTGTGACGCAGCTATTGACAATGGAAAGGTCTAGGGTGTGACTATGACAGTGAGTGGCTATAGCGACTATGGTAGGCCAAGAAACAAGGTGACTGAGAGAGAGATGAAGGAACTGAGAGACCTGGGGGGAAAGCTTCCAGATTTAAGAATCAGAAGGCTTGGCTTCACACTCTAGCTCCATCACTTACTAGCTGGATAAAATTTAAGCAAGTAAATGCTCTAAGGGTTTGCTTCTTCATCCTCCAAATGAGAATAAGAATGTATACCTCAGCTGGCTCAGAATTAGTGATACAAAAAAATACACAGAATATAACACATTTTATAGGAACACATTAAAAATAGTGATACACAATAAACACTAAATGATTGCCCATGTGAGGGGAAGGGGAAAGGAATGAATAAGGATAAAGGAGAATTAAAAATACAAGAACAACTTCACATGTGCCCCTGATAGCTTCCCCCAAGCCGAAGAGTGTGATAACATAAGTTTCAGCTGAAATCAAAACAAATGAAAGAAAAAGAAAGTAAAAATAGGAAGGAGAGAAGAGACATTTTTAGAGACTGAATCAAGAGGACCTGTGACTACTTGGATGTGAGCACTGCAACATAGGGAAGGGGGCTGTACCTTGGGAGAAGAGACCTTAACAGAAATAGAAAGCACTGAAGGAGGAACTTGTCTAAGAGGGAAACTCAAAATGGGAATTAGAGGCTCTGAATCATCTTATTTCTCAGAATCATCTTTCCATGATTTCTGTCCTTCCCTTTTTACAATATACATTATTACATTATACATTACATCATACATTTGTTCATTCAACAGATAGTTACTGAACTCAAAAACACTTTCTGCATCCACTTCCTCACCTCCTACTCATTTTTCAACCCCTCTGGCCTGGCTTCCATGCCCACCACTTTGTGAAAATTGTCTTGTCATCATCACCCACACGTTCCATGTTGCCAAACCCAGTGGTCACTCTTCAGGCCTCATCTCTCCTGAGAGTCAGCCGTATTTGCAACAGTTGACAATGCCCTGCTTCTGGAAACATTTTTGGCTTTTGTAAAACCACTCTCTCCTGAGTTTCTCCAGTTCTTCCTTCTCTAACCAGCCTCTAAATGTTGGTCCCAAGTGTTTTCTCTACAGGGTCTTCCTAGTATTCTCACCTGTTCCTATGGTTTCACCATCTATATGATGTCCAAATTTACTTTTCAGTCCACAGGCCACTTCCCTGAGCAGCCCATATCACTCCTCTAATTGTCACGCGCTTATCCAAGATTACTGACCCCTTCACCTGTCTCGGGCAAGCCACTTGCCATGTCCAAAATGTAACTAAATTTCCAAACCCCTTACCAAGATCTACAAAGGCCCTGCCTACCTGTCCCTCACTCACTGTTCAGTTACCATGTCCTGGTCCTCTCCCACGTCAGGTTCTTTCCCGCTTGCCCCATCACCCCCCCTTTTTTTTTGACTGCTCCTTCGGCCTGGAACACGTTCCGCTCAATCTGCTTAAAACCTTCCCTCCACTCTGCTCTTCTCAATCTGAGTACTCATTTGTAATTATTTCTTTTACTGTCTATCTCCCGAACTAAAATACATGCTCTAAGAGGGTGGGATCTTATCTGTTTTGTTCTTTACTGTATCTCTACATCTGACAGAGGGTCTGGCCCAAAGGGAGCACTCCACACTTGTTGAACGAATGTGAAAATAAACACACGCGTGTTAAGCACACAGCGGTAACCACAACGCTTCCATGGCCCTCAACTAACGTACATTCCAGGAAAACCTCCTTTCAGGGAGCAAGGTGCGGGAGCGCTGGGGGACAGGCGTCCCACCCCCGGCTCACTGACGGAAGAGCGGCGCGGGCCGAAGCCGCGCCCTGATAGGGCGAACGCACCCCGCCGGCCCTCCTCTCCCCCCGCCCG